GTCTTCGGTTCCGATAACTGCCTAGCCAACTTCTCACTGAACACGGCTTCAGTGTTTTCCTTGTCCAGCAGCACTCGTAGTGGTTTTGTTGCCGGATTTTCCTTACGTCCATTGAGACGCAGGCATATACGCGCTCAGACCAACGCATGTTCGCTATCCAAATACGTACTCCAGAAGGAGTGGCAGTCTTCCACCTATCCTCTCCAGCAATATGGTCTATCTGTGTCCATCACTGAGTTGAGCTCGGTAGACACCATGTCAGACAGTATCTTTCTTCGTTTCTGAAATTCGTGCTAGCTAAAAATTGGCGGTTATCTCAGTACAGTTGTAGTAGGCGATCACCATTATCTGTACGTTCAGCTGGGATTCCGAAAGTGCCACCTAAATGCCTTTCTGCCTCACTCAGTCTACCCACCTGTGCATTGAAGTCACCTGCAACAATCACCACGTCCGAACGTTTGGCTTTGGAGAGGAGGCTAGACAATTTTCGGTAGAACCCGTCCTTCACTTCACCCAAACTGCAGTCAGTGGATGCGTAAGCAGAGATTACAAAGAGACGAGGGCCAGTCTCACTATTCCTTTTAGTTCTCACCGTGCCGTTCAGTCGGATAACTCAGAGACGACTATCAACTGGGATCCAGTCTAGTAGTGAGTTTTCTGCCCTAGTGCTTAATGCTATGCCTACACCTGCAAGACTGCGACAGATAGCTACTGAATCTCCAGAAACTCGAAGGATGAATTTTGCGGATTCACCAGATTGGTCAGGAGAGGTCAGGTGAATAACCGCACTTGGGTCCTGTATGCGTGTCTCACAAACACAGCACACATCCATGGCCCGAGTCGCTAGAGTCTTTGCCAACGAAGCCTGTTGACCGAATTGACGGAGGGTGCGGACATTGAAGGCTCCAATATGTAATTTGGAGCGTGGTTTAAGGAGACCAGTGATGCTGTTCTGTGGACTCAGATCGTTGTCGAAGGCTGCAGAGGTAGGAGAAATTGAAGATGATGCAGCATCATTAATTAAGAGACGTGAAGGAAGATTAGAAGGTAATGATGGAGGAGGTGGATAGCAGTCCGAGGAAACTTGAGTGCTGATTGAGTTGTGAGGGCGGTTGACACTTCTCGGCTGCTCACACTGTGGAAGGCTATTTCTTCTTAAGGTACTTGAAAGAGGTTTGTGTGACCGCAGAGCCCATCAGACATCCGTTGAGGGCGTGTCACACGCAGCCTTTTGAGTATGATTATTTTGAACTTTTGTATTTTTGGGGCCGGATAGTCGAAAAGAAACGACAAATGAACCAACACCGCCGGCCCTGCAGAGCGTGGGGTATGTTAAATTGGAGGCCGACGTTTTCTAACCCCCCTTCCACTGAGAAGGCAGCATCAGTATGGCACTGCTGGTCATCCAAGGGAAACACCTTACTGCTGTCACACTCCATCCAACTAGCAGCAGTACAACTTCGCCCACATACCTCCACCATAGTGTTTGTGGAACGTGACCTTTAAAGTTAGAATACTTGAAACGACTTCAGATGCTCGACCACGGCTACCTTTGTAGCATTGACCGTGTCCCGTTATCATCACGCTAGTAACGGAGAATTCAAGTGTAGAGTTTTAGGCGAATGCGATAAGACAGTTGATGAGATTACAGCCTCCTAACTCAGATAGGCTGATACATAGTTTTAGACGTACCTCATCAACGTCAACCTTGTCGCGCGAAGTTAGCCGACGTACGTTTAGGCTGGAAGGCTGTTACAAACGGTCACACTAAAACAGTGTCAATCAATGGAGTTCCTCCTAGTTGGTCGTAGCCATGTGGGAGAACTTGGGCTTTTCGCTTAGGGTCCGCGTGACAATCGAGTCGGTAGTTGGAGACTCAGTATGTGCCTCGGAGTTGATCTCACTGGCGTAGACACATCCATACATTGCTTTTATGCTTATCGTCATACCACATTTCTTTATAAACGTCAAACTGTCTTCTCACCTTCTACGACTTGTTTACATTTTTGTCTATCCCTTTTTTATTCCTCTTGTTTCTTAATATAAGATGTGGCAACTTGCACCGTTACGCAGTACTGTCATGTCCTGTGTCAGTGCGGAGTCATCGGCAATCGTACGCAATAGCATATTCATCCATATTTCTTCACACCTAATCTTGGATATTTACGTGCATCCTTTGAAAGCATTTGTGTCTTATCACTGACTGTCTCTGTTTCCTGGATTTAGCGTAGCGTACGCGGGTTGTTCGAATACCTGAAAGATAGTAAAATATTTGGTCACTTTACAAAGTTATCACTTCCTGGCCTTACTAAAAGATACAAATGTTTTTCAGAAGCTTGTGCGGTTCAAGAATGCTCTGTCTTGTTACATTACTAAGACATTGTTTCCGAACATATAATCAAAATCGACATAGGACCTGACATTATTGCGCAACAGTTCAAGTTGCCACACCTCATATCAACACATCAGGTAACAAGGTAATGTAATGGAAGATGGAGAAAGATAGAAAAAATCGGTCAAAAAAAGTAGTGAAAGAGAAAAAGGAGTGATGCGAAAATGATGGGATTAAGTACGGCGGTTAAGATGATAGTGTGTATACATCTGAGCCATATTACCTAGAGTCTTCAAACATTGGTTCCTCTTGTCCCGCGGACCCCGACCGGCCAATCCGCATCACCCTACGTGGATCAGACGAACAGTCAAGAACTTCATGCATTGATTCCATGTCAGTCTGCATGAGCCTCTTTCCAGCTTGAATCTACTCCGGCCAACATTGTGCGACAGGGCGATCGGCGACTAGACATACGTAACACATGTTCCAGCCGTCTCAGTCGATGAAGACTCACAACCGCACCAACTGACTTACCTCTCCTCCCTGAAACTTTGCACCTGACTTCTGCGTTGCTCACGTGGCGACATCACGAAACATGGCCTATACTACGAAGACAACAGTAATCAAACACCTGAAGCCTTCTCATGTCTTCTACTTCTAACAACCATGTTTCACGGCCATACAGTAAAATAGCGGACTGCAACGCAGTACACTCGATCCTTGGCAGACAATCTGATATCGTGGCGGCACAACAGATGAGGTAAGTTGGCAAAAGCCAACCGAACTTTTTGTATCCATGCGAAGATTTTATCGGCCACTGAGCTACTTAGGCTGATCCGACTTTCCAGGCACTCAGCTTCACTCTCTATTGTTACTGAGGGCACCGCTGAAGACCAGTCTTGGAGCAACAATTTGCATTTGGGTGGTGAGAACCGCATCCCAAATTGCCACCCAAAGTGTTTAGAAGACTCTGCATCTTGTCAGCGTCTTCACTTAACAGGACTATGCCATCTTCATATTCTAGGTTTAGTCAAAATTCTCCTGTGATTAGGTCAACCTCTGTGTAATCAGGTGACGAGAGTGAGACCTCTATAAGAATATCTATGATGAAATTGAATAAGAATGGAGAAGCTGAACACCTTTGATAGAGACTTCGGCGTACACAGCTCACCATATGCTGTAACACGCCTACAGGTGTTCGAGTAAAAGACCTTCACTAAGGGGATGATAAGAATAACTTTTTTCTTTTTGAATGTTGCCGACTTATGATAGAACCACTGGCTAACCAGTGCTTATGTTATCGATCAGTTCATAAAGTAAGTCACTTCGTCAACTGCAGTTGAAATTAACTTCTCTTTCCTGGTCGATGCCTGCACTATTTGGATCCCATAACTAAAGGGGTTTAGTAAAAGAGGCCACCGAAAAATATCAGTACTTAAGTGTTTGGTTTCTTCGATGAGATCCGTTCATTGTCAGAATTGTTTGCTCAGTGTATCTCAGTCTGGAACAGACTGATGTTCCTCAGTAAGGACAGTTATTTAATTAGTGTATAGTGTATTCAGAATAGATGATCACGAGTCACCATTGCTGTGTCGGTCTATTAGAAATCTGGAACTATTTCACCTTAGGCGTTTCTTGACTTACATCTATACGCATATTAGAAAGTCATTATTGTGAATTAATAAATACAGCTCAGCGTCCATGTGTACGTAGCAATGAATCATACTGCGTATTGCTGTTCTTCGTAGAGTACCTGTTTAAACCCCGATCACGCGTTAGTACGAGCGTGTGCTTGCCGGCATCTTACTGGTCGATAGAAACAGGTGGCAGTGAAGCCTGTGGGTGCTCGATTAGAAGATGGGAACATCAATTACGTATTTAGGGGAGACTGCTAAGCATTTACCCGAACGTAAGTTCATATCAAAAGGAAGTCCGGCGTGATATTCAGTCGATGAGGTTGATAACATTGACCGACTGACCTACCATCCACCTCTGTCCGCTATCATTGCGAAGACTCTTAGTCAATCTACATTTGAACTGCTTCCGCTCCTCGTGGTCGGAGCCAGCTAAAATGAGTCTTCGCACACCAAAAAGTTTCGATGAGGTTTCAAAAATCCATTGAAGTTTGCTAAATTTTAGATGTAGGTTACCGACTGGTTTTATAGCAGATTGAATATCACGCAGGGCTCACTTCGCGCATGACAAGCTGCCGCCTACCTTGGTGTCAGTTTCACCTGAAGTAGGATTGGGTTGGAAGGCTCAGGGTGACCAAACCTACACGTAGTACCAGTCGATGAAGTTTCTGACTATTGACCTGAGCTGTGTAGGCAAGTGTAGACTACCTGGTTGGGATCCCTGAGACGGCAGAAACCAATGGTTGGAGACCTTGAGTGACATAGCTGAAAGTCGGTCACAATGGCGTGGATGTATTCACTCTCTGATGTCTTCTAAAACCTGAACACTCACTAACTTTGATTTTAAAATTCCTTCTCCTCTCATACACTTTTATATCATTTTTCCTCTACACACCTGTTCTTTGGGTTCTGTTGTGAAATGTCGCAAGTTGAATTGATGTGCTTCTGTGAGAGATTCTACGTTGGTTTCATCTATTTCTCTAAATCAAAGTCAAACGAATGATTTAATCTAATCCGGTTTTTCTCCTTTTTAGATGGTTTGATTAAGTTGAAAGAAAGTGCTAAGAAGAGGAAAGGCAGGGGATTTGGAGCTGGTATGAACTCGCGTATATGATCTAATTCTTGTAGACTCAGTGGGGACAACCAAAGAGGGGTACGAATCTCTTGGAATAGATGATGGTTCGTCAAAGTCAGGACCACAGAGATGTAAGTTGCAGGATTACATATGAATAATTTTCATCAGCGGTCGAAGGATGGATCTTATTTGTGAGAAATGTACAAGAAGAGGCTACTGAAGAAGATATTCGAGACAAATTTTGTGAATATGGTGACATAAAAAACATACATTTAAATCTTGACCGACGAACTGGTTATCTAAAGGTAAGTTCAGCATTATAATATACTAATAAATAACAGGGATATGCTTTGGTTGAATACGAGAATTTTAAAGAAGCACAGAACGCTATGGAACAGTTAAATGGTTCTGAGTTAAATGGACAAAGAATCCATGTAGATTGGGCATTTACCAGGGGTCCAAATCCGGTCAAGGTATCAACGAAACACAGAACACGTGATCGAAGTCGTTCAGTTGATCGCCCACGGCGATAGTTGTACATTTTTCTTATTCCAGCCGAAATACATTTTTATACATCTTAACAACTGTATCCATTAGAAGATTGGCATGCCTGTGTTATGTTCAAAATGCATCATGGGCGGTCGTTAAGTACTGACTTTATACCGTTTACACCTATGGAGTTGTAACTCGTTGGCCTATATCCCGCCCTACGTCCTATAGCCTGGTAGTACCATAGGGGGTTACCCCTATACAAAACGTATTGTTCATAGCCTAGTGCATAAACTTATATCGTGTTGAGTTGCATCACTATTTTCATGCTTAAGCTGCTATTTATTGCTTTTATGGTTAAGCCACAAACCTGATGCTTCAAAACAAATTAATTTGGGATTGCTAAGAGGTGAAAAGAAAAACAACCTGATAGTGAGTAAGAAAATACATAAGAACACATCTACGTACAATACAAAATTTTTTAAATGTCTTGATATGCATTCTTTTGTAAAAGAAGAGAATTTCCTACTAAATTTGATGGTGAGTTGCACCGACTCGATTTAAGCGACCACAACTATCTTCCCATCAGATCAACTATGTAAATCACTTCGATGTCGTCAGATTGTAGAATGCACGGAGTTACGCATACAGTAGCGACTTGAACATGGAAGTAAAAAACTCTTGCGTACGAAGTTAGCTGTCAGTTAAGCGTGCGTGTTGTATCCGTTCGGAATATATAACAGTTGGTGACGGAAGATATAACAAATTCCACCTTTCAACTAAAATGTCTAACGTCCTCAGTTATTCCATACGTCATGTTCACCACAAACAGAAGTATAAATTTTGGGACCTAGTTTATTATAGTTCCAGTTGTAGAGACAATGGAAGAACTAAAATCTTTATCAATAGCATCTTCATAAAATGCTGTTAAACGTTATCAGTTTTTTCAGCAATTGATTTCTACGCTGTTGTCGAAAAGTTCAAAAAGCTGATGTACCATGTAATCCAAAAATCGACATTCTGTTAGCCACAGTATCTACTTTTGGCATTGAGTAATCACCTGGGTTGAATCTAACATTTTCATGGCTGACAGCTGCTAACTTGAGGTGGTAGTCAGTCTTGCTTACGTTACTGGTAAGACTGCCGACAAGCAGCTGTTATCATGGTGTAAGTAATTTACGCCATCATGGAAATCAAATGTAGTTTTGTACTGCTTGGCTGAACAAGGGTGTAACGGCAGGAAGGTGTTTCCTTTGGGTAGTCAGCATTCCAGTTGTATCAGCTCCTTGTGCATCTCCACGTAACCTACAACTTCTCGACTCGATACGTAAGGTTTTTAAGGAATGGACACAACTCTATGGAAACCAGCATCACGAAGAAGACTGTACGCGATTGACTTTCACCGTATCTGTTATACAAAGGTAAAAGTCTAGTTGTAAAGTTGAAGTATTTATTGTTGAAAAGTAGCTGTGCTGACTAGACAAATCAATAAAATTATGCATCGCTCAACATAACTGCAGGATTATTTTTGAAAGAAAATGAGTTTGTTCAGTTAAATGTAATCCTATTACATGGAAATATTACGAGTTGGGTTTAAAAATAAATATTACGTAATCAATATCCAACTCAGTCAACAGTTTCGGGAAAAATCGTGTATTCATTTTTTAATTTATCAGCAGCTCTGCAATTTGCTCATATAAGTAGTATACTGCGTTGACTCATGAATACTGACTACATACACCAACGGTTCTTCCTTTAGCCTCATATAACTTGTGAGCATAAATGTATTCCAAAGCACGCTCCGGGACTAAGTAGCGAACACTTTCTCCAAGACTTAAAGCTCGGCGTACAAAAGTTGAGCTGAGTGAGTTTTGACAGCCATCTGCAACTATCTTAATATTGTCCTGTGTAATAACAATGACATATATGAGAACGTAACTACATCCGAAACAATTACTATGAATATAATTGTCTAAACTACCAGTATGCATAGAATGGCTGCTTAGCGAGTTAGTGAGAAGGATGAAGTAACAAACAAATTGTTATGTAACTCGAAATAATAAAGATATCGTTTTTCTTTATTGAAACTAAAAGAACTTATTACTCATAGTAAACCTGGTTATTGGGAATAATCCAGTGTATCTAGTAAGTAGCATTTCTGAAACACAAGTAAATACTAGTTGAATAACTGGAAATCAAGAATTAGCGGACAGGTGCTTCGTTCCACTCTTAGCCTTTATAGTGCTATATATGTATAGTGCCACCTGAAGTCGGACAGGACGCTTCTAACCACGCACTTAGTGGGTTGCTACTACCGGTAAGTACTTGCTCGATGATGACCGACCGTACATATCTGAACCAGATATCAATGAGTGTTAAAAATCAATTTCTCAAAGCAGGTGATAGAATGTATACACACTTTTCTTCCTTAAGCAGTAAATCAGTGGTTTTTGTCATCGAACACTGAAGTTACAAAATGTAGGAAGCACACAAAACTTTTCGAATAAAGATTTTTTGATTTTAGTCAATCTCCTTTCCACACTCAAACGATTTTCAAACATTATTTAAAAAAGTAAAATAAATTACCTTATACCTGTTCAAAATCTTTGATTCAATGATAACTTTTGAGGCGTCATATGATGGCCGACTTATACAAATCAAACCATAGTCACGAACAATGGTTTCAAGCTAAAGGAAAATAATAGTTTAGTTAGATTAGCATATCACAATGACGAGCGTACGCTTGTTTATGCAATTTCGAAATTCGTAAGCTTTAGCTATAAGTGTCATTGCTACTTTATTCAGTTAAACTGAAAACCTATGAAACTGATTAATGTATACATATCACTGATAGTATATTAACCGATAACGTGTTCTACTGTTTTGAAAACAGTGCATCGAGGAGCCCCTAGATTCACTAGCTAACGCGTACAAGTGCTGTTCAATAATTTACAACTGTTCGTCTTGCGCGGTAGTTATGTTCTGCACCATTCAAGCCCGTCATCTTGACACAATTGATGTTACCACTCAGGTCACATTGTTAAGATATTTCGGCTTCCATAGAGGATCAAGTCCGTGTGATCCGATTAATGAAAAATGGAAGTTTAGGTAATCACATTGAACGAATCATACAGGAATCGCTTCGCAAAAGTGAAAACAATATGACCTTCCACCCTGCCAAGAAACTGATATCACTAAAGCATGCACAGTACGAACTAAGTTTTCATGCACAAACAGACATGAGTTTGTAGTTCATACGCTCATGACACTCCCCATATCAAATATACGGATTGTCACTCTTCAGCTACTCAGGATGTCGGTGCTTGAAGTGCTAAGAGGTTTGACCGTGTCATATGAATGAAGTTAAATATGGCTGTTTGGATACCACTAAAAAACCTAACTTTCTAAACACAACTTCTCGTCGCAGTCACAATTGACAAGATTCGGACAGAGAGCTTGGCTGACAGCCTGAATTAAAACAGACAGCCTGATCTCACGAGTATTTATAATAAAGATGGAAATGGGTTTTTGACAGATGTTTGGTTTGAATACTGATTTCTTTTGAGTGATGCTTATCGCTTATTCGTTAAAATTTTTAAACAGACCAAACCAAAAAAGGGAATACTATCACGCCTTCTGATCGTCTCTGAATCAGTACGATACTAATTTGAAGTAGGACATCACAGCTGTCCCATATCAATGGGATTATCAAATCTGCTTTTTAAGTGTTACTTCCTCACAACGTTTTATACTTTTGCTTTCACACTACCTATTATCAGTAAGTAGTGTTGTTACTTAGTCGCCGTATTCTTTTCTTCCCACAATTGCGTCTCGCTACCCATTATTTCGTACAATGCGTTACTGTTAGCCCCTTGACATCTGCAAACTTTTGTTCTATTCCTAGAATGTTGTTTTTTCAAAGGGGTGATACATTATCATTCGACTGTGTTTTTGATGGTTCGATAAACACTACGAGATTGGTGATTTGCAGTTTTCTTAGTTCTTATTTAAAGTCTTCATAACCCTGTTGTATTCCAAGAGAATTGGGATTATTTTTACGCGTCACTTGCATGTCAAGCTTAGATTCCATATACGAAATCGTTAAGGCTGTTAAAGAAGTGCAGAAATCAGCTTCAGGTTAGCTGACATGTCCCGCTGTAGGTTTGTTCTAACAATAGAATCTTTGACGTCAAAATTACTTCGTAAACAGATGACGCTTTTATTTTCCTCATCCAGTGTATATCGTAGAATAATAATAACAAGCGCCGGAAACTCATCGATTGGGGGTGAAATCAAGATTTGATTAGGATATATGGGTCTTTTGGCTTAAGCAGCGAATAACCAAAAACTGATTCCATTCCTACTGCGGGCTCAGGCTCTCTTACGATCACCATCTTGATATACCAAGACTAACGTAAGAAACAAGGCCAGCTTAGATAATGCTCTGTGTATATTCTTGAAAAGCATATGTAGGATGTATCCAAGATAGTTGAAAAATGACTCCACTGATTAAATTTGATCAAATTCCAAGCGCAAAACGAAATATGTTTTGACAAACCTTTGCAATTCCACATTTTATAGTCAACCAAACATCACGAAGGTGATCAAGGCACTCTGGTCTGCATCTCTTAGCTTAACGTTTGCCGTACGAAGGTTGACGTCTTCTTTTGAAAACATATACGTACTGGCACTTTTACACGCACTTAAGTACAAATATATGTTGACTACTTTTAACAAATGAGTACGGTAATTCTGAAAAAATGTTTCACACTTCACGCAAGCAAGATGCATATTGTCGGGTCATTACGTCCGTTTAGTGGAGGCTCTGTTTTGAAAATAACAAGATGAGATGTTTCGTAACCGACAGAACTTATACATCGGTGATCTTGATATCTGTGACGTGGATCTTTGCAAGAGAACAACATTTCAGAGTGAAGAGATATCCTAACCACACATACACTTAGTGACAAATGAGCTCTCCAACCAAGATTTCTAATTTTTACAGGGAAGAAGCATCTGGAAAATGAGGTGTTTTGGCATTACCTGACTGTGAAAGGAGTAACTAGCAAGTATGTAAGGTTAATCAAAGCTCTCTATTCAAACTCGCACAACCGTGTAAAAGCTTACAAGAGTTGGCATCCGAACTGACGATAACTAGCAGTGTCCACCAGGGATGCCAGCTGTTACCGTTTCTGTGCAACTTAGTTAAGGATGTATTAGTGGGTAAAACCATAGGTAAGTCAGACTTCACAAGGATTAATCCACTCCCTGGAAGGCATCTGGTTGACTTGGGGAACGCAGACGATATTGTTCTGGTTAGGTGAAGACGCTGAGGACATGTAGATTTGTTTAAACGTCTTGGGCGAATCTGAGTATGCATGGCATGAGTTTCGCACCTATGAAACGTAAGATGATGTTTGAGGACTGGTCTGGATCTACTTCTAGTTTTAAAATAGGTAGTGAAGTAGTTGAGTGCGTCGACTACTTCTCTTGCTTGGGAAGTTGCAACAGCCCAAACAGGCTGATTACTGACGAAACCTTAGCTTGGATACAGAAGACTCGCTTGACATTCGTCAACTTGAGTCATTTCTGGCGACAACTGGTGAGATATCCAACTATCTATTGAAAACCGAGTATACTGCACTGCAGTCCGTTCTGTCCTGTTAAACGGTTGCGAGACATGTCCGTTAAAAGTGGAAGATATGAACAGGCTACAGCTTTTTGACCGCAGGTGTCTTCGTAGCATTGCTCACGTGTAGTGGAATCACTGTGTGAATAATGTCGAGGTTAGGTTAAGGGTACTCAGCAAGTCAGTCAGTGAGGTTGTCAATGTTCACTGAGAAGTGAATCGGACGTATGTTGCGCATTAAAAGATACACCCTACCTCAGTGGGCGACGCTAGCCAAATTAGGATCGGATTGGAAGAATGCGCAGGGTGGCCAGACCAAGACGTGGTGCCAGTCGATAAAGTCTCTCATTGTTGGTCCGAGATGTATAGGAAGATGTAGGCTACCTGGTTGGGATCCCCGCGACCACGCATCAGTGGTTAGAGACTCTTGATGACGGCTGAAAATCGGCAACAATGGCGCAGATGTATTCACTCTTTGACGTCTAAAGCTTGAATGTTTAGACTAACATAACTTTTCAAATTGCTTTTCCTTTCATATAGCTTCGTGTACTTTGATAGCAGTATTTTTCTACCCATCCGTTTCTTTGCATTCTACTGTGAATTGTGGCAAGTCAAACCAAAGCACTTCTTTACGATGTTCTAAGTTGATCTTGTCTGTCTCCAAAACTAATGATATCAGCCGACAAAGATCCACATAACACCTTGACAGGTGTCGATAGTGCGTGTTATCAGACGAACTGTCATTAAAAGATGCGACACAACTTCTCTGTTGACTGTTAGTCGAAGTACCACCTATAACCCACTGTTTCAACCACACCAAACAAGTATTGATGTTTTGACTGATGTGGGTCGGTCTTCAGATACTAATTGACGTAAATTTTTGACTGAGGTGGTCTGTTGCGTGACTACTGGTTCTAGTGAAATTATTTTAATACGAGGATGGCGTACATCACTATGCATGCGATCCATCAAAATGAACTGAAAGGTGTTAAGGTAATTGGAGAAAACCCGTAGAGACAGTGTGTTTAAAATAAAGATTCAGCTACTTTTCTGACTAACTTCATAGCATGTCATAAGTGTAACTAATACTCACATACACTTTCCTGAGAAGTGACAGATATTCTTGAGTATCAGTTTGAAATTCTATAATAAGCACCGATAGTACTAAAACATTGAGTCGCTAAATATAACGATTTCACCAACTTTAAGGTGAGTTTATCATACTAGAGTGAGATCAAAATTGAGGCGAATCTTTCAGAAAAATTGGCTTCCTTTTTTTACACTACAGACCGCTTATGACATGTTTTGTTGACCCTAAGGATAGGTTTGCAGAGACAAATGAAACAGCGTTTTATTGATGATTACATGTAAAATTAGCTACGGTGTGTGTACAATATACAGTATACAATTTGTTCTGTGTCAACCTGAAAAACTTTCGTCATCTATATGGCCAAAGTTTGTACTCATGTTCCTGCTGAACATTATGGCACCTGCAAGTTAGCTTCATTTAAGTCGTCAGCACTGACGAAATGTAGACCAAAAATCACAAGTGAATTTCTTTACTCTCATTTAACGATATCATAAACTTACATCATCGTCTGACCACAAATTTGGAACTGAAAATGACTGAAGGACATCAGAACCACATACCAATTTAATATGAGGTTTGGAGAGCAAACAAGTACCTGAACTATTTTTCAAAAGGTAGCCAGTTTTCTCCTCATTGAATAAAGCGGTGGAGGAATTGTTATTCACGTATTCATCAAAATGTGATTGGTTTTTATCGCACTCTGGTTGATAGTAATTTTCGGAAGATACAATGTTCATAAGACAATTCTTAAGCCAACAGTTAGTCGCCATGCCTTCTAGTGATGTAATTTTCACTTGCTCATACTCTTTGATAACTAAATGGTCATTAGCTGAATAATGAAAAATATCAAAGAAAATTTTTCTAAACCGTAATTCAAAAATGGAATATTTATTGTAAATATGAAAACTAAAATGTTGGAAGTTAAGGTGATGGTGAATTAGAATAATTCTGACAAATACTGTTTCAAAATGGTTATCCTAGCATATTTATTGGGAATAGATATCATCTGAAAGATTACGTGTGTATGGAATGATGACTATTTATGAATGTCAGTTTTAATGTCTGTCATTTTTAGCATAGAATTAATTCATGGATGGCATATGGATGAACTGTTGTTTCGTGCTGTTCAAATGCACGGCGTCTGAAGTGATGGATTCCGCGTTCAAATTTCTCAAGGGACGCCATCGCTCACTGGAATGCAGGTATGTCTGGTTGATGAGTCACAAATAAAACTCGCGCGCCTGGATTCCACTGATACCCATCAACAAGGAAATAAAATTAACATGAGTATGGTTTCATAATTTGCGTAAAGTGGGAAAGCCAGGGAATCCTCGATTGACGTCTGAACTCCGCGTGCAGAAGAAATACATAGAATCTCTCATTTTGTCATGCTTTTTCTTTCTCATTATTCTATTAATAACACAGTTTCAGTCTATTACTCATTAAGTTTCATTTATAAACGATAATTTTAAATACAACCGAAAAGGAAAATTTCCGCTGAACTATTTAACTTTTCCTGCGTAGTTTGAAAATGGGGTTTAGTTGAAACGTGACGTAGTGGAGTAATATCTTGGAAATAAAATGGTTACACATTCATCTACAAAGTTGTTTATGATCATTTTGATTCATGGGTTGGACATCTCACGTTTACATGCGATACTTTACTAGATAGTTCGAAATATACTATATAAATGCATCAATCGATTGCGACAAATTCTGTCAGCCCATTGAATTCAAGATGGACTTCGCCGAAAATCTGTAAGGATGTATCGTAATGACACCTTTCAAAGAGAGCTGAAGTGATCAGACCTGAGGAAACCAGTCAGTATTTATCTGATTGGCTTCTGAACTTTAACAATTGATGGGATAGCTATTCTAAGGTAAAAAACATATGCACAATATCATTCTCGGAAGCAAGATGAGTACCTCTCTATAATACACGCTGCTCAGTAAGGTAAACAACAGTCGATAAGATTCCATCGAAGGTAACCTTTGATTATAACTTTCAACTTACGTACAAAAGCAAATATTTCAGAAGAACAAATAGGTTTGCATGAATCATTCAGCATACTCCTAAACGCTTAAGTCAGAAAGAACTAAAAGTTTTAGTCAACTCGACTATGTAGTATTTATTAGAAGTGAGTGGAACAAATGCATTTGAAATTACTAAACACCAAAACATTCCACTCAGATTTGCAGACGTCATAACGATTATAAGCTTGAAACGTAACCTTTGCATTTAGAAACAGTAGATGGTTAAACTTCAACTTGCCTTGGTGACAATTTGTGCAAATGTTTTATTTTCTTGCTTCCGGTTCTATAGCTCTGGTTGGATATCACTGAGTTTTCTCTCTCTCTTATTGCCCAGTAATTTTACAGATTTTAAGTGGTTCTTGCTTTATTCAAACTCGTGAAAGGAAGTTAGTACATGAGATATTACAGTTTGCATAAGCGAAAAGATTGATATGGAGATTAGAACAAAAATATTTAATAAATAATGTAGGCCAGTAGAAAATTGCTTTCCTCTGATGCTTTAACATTTCATCATAATAAGTCTAATAGGAAAAGTAACATTAAATCTTTCCATTTATACAATTACTAGACTAAAGTGTTACTAACATCCAAATTACTCATTACTGATTGACAAGACACAAATTCATTTTGTATGCAGAAAGAACTTACAATGAGGATGGTCTTTTGTACAAAGAATTTCACTTTTCGAAATTGCATTACATTCATCGCTTGCATTATTTTTACTTAATCCTGAAAATATCTTCTCCAGTGAGTTTTGTATATAATCTAAAACTTCCCGAGTTCTCGACCAACTTGGCTGACAACACTCCCAATTGCTTACACTCAACCAATTCGATGTGGTACGACAAGCTATGCGCGTGAGCTCAACACGTATAGCGGCTGGAAGCAGACCTTTCTTGCCATAAAGATCTGATACAGGGCTAAATATACCACCAACCACAACCGGTCGATGAGCATGATTTAGTACAGCTTTATCCGTACATTCAATTTCACTTAACTGTGCGTTCTCCTTCTTTGATGGATTATGTGATTCTTCAATTTTATCTCTAGCTAACTCTAATAAGCAAAAAGATAAATAAAATGGAAATAATCAACAGTTTACCACAGCGCATACTCAGATATGAACTACTATAGATAGGAAAAAACTATATATTTATCACTGATGCTTTGGGATTGGTATCGAAAGGTATATAACTTGAAATAACTCGACCCGAAGCTAAGATATGTGGAATAAGAAAAGTCACACCGAGAGTGAACATAAAGGTGTAAAACTGTTTCGACAAAACATTTATCTTGCCTGTTTACGTAAAAATAAAAACAAATTATAGTACTTCTATTATCGATATCTCTAGAACTCCACCACAATCGATTTGCTGTTGAATAATAATAATGTTGCCAAATATTGCCTTCCGAAGTTGAAACCAAAAGTAAGAGATGAAAATGTTACGGTAACATGCAACAGTAGAAGGGAAAGTTTTGCTTAAGTCGGCCACATGTAGTGCACCGCAGCGTGACATATATGATTTGCTATTTACTGATGCTCCATTCAGAGATAGTCGGTTATACGTGCGGGGTAGTAGAAAGTGATAGCTATTAGTCCACCATTTAGGGACTAAAAAGACATTCTGAGGTGTGAAAAAAACGTACAATTTTCGAAAAGATTTTTGTTTTGGTAAAGATACATAAATAAGTTGATGGAGTAGACACTGACTCTTCACAACGACCACTTCTGAGAAATGTCTGTATAATCAATTAGGACAGTAAAATGTAAGCCTACTAGATGTATACTGTCATTATATGGATGAGATATTCGTTTATTGATATCAAAAAGTTACTAACGAATTTCAATATAGCTCACGAAACGATTAACTTCACGGGTGAGCTTAAATACCTAAGGAAATTAACTCGTTGGCTATCATGATCAAAAGAAAGGAAGATGGAGGAGTGAGCAGACCCATTTACTGGAAGTCCAAATGGAGTAGTCAATATACTCGTTGCTATGGTTTTGTCACACTGAGTGGAGCTGCGGCTGATTGGTCTAGGTACTTGATTTTCAACCGATGGGTCACAAGTTAGAACCTACAGAAGTTTGAACAGCCAGGTACTATCATTAGCCCTCACAAAATATGTGTGGCTCACTATCTGTTGTAAGGATGTATGCAGGGTGGCTGATTGAGTTCCAATTTGTTGTTGCTCATATTGTGTAGAAAAAGAGGAATCAGATATGTTTCACCAACAGGGGATACTGAAAAAATCTCCAAAACACAAATTGCAAACCAGAAACAAAATTGAGCAAAGCAAGATTTGATTTAGACACAACAAAATTCATGAGTTTATTAGACCCTGCGTTGTTCACTTTTCTCCTCTGGTTCCCCAGTGCATTCTGAGAATATGTTAGCTGTAGTAATGAGGAAATCTCTAGATGTTTTAAAAAAAAAGTGGACATGAAGAAACACGATCCCTCGTTTTAGTTTTAAGCGTTTCTTCTTTGAGTACGCACAGTGACAAGAAAGTGATTCACTCACTCATAATGGTCATATAATTGAAGAGATTTCCCTTTCAAATTCACAAAATGCATAATGTATTTCAGTAAAGATAACTTACCCATTGTTCGCATATGCATCACAGTAATTGGATTGAAAGATCCACATGACAACAAAAACACTGGCTCTATCCCCAAGTTTTTAATGCACATTAATCAAGAAATATTTACAAGACCAGCGGCTGTTAAAAAGAGCAACTTTGTTGACCAACGAATATATTCTTGAAGTAAAGAACTTCACTAATTTTCTGCCTACAATTAGTCACAAAAACAATATTGAATCAGAAAGGTTTTTAACGCCATTTAATTTATCAGAATCAGAAAGAGGCAATAGACAAGAATATTAAAGTAGAATACTGTATAATTCAAAAGATAACAATAACCAATATCTCAGTTTCCACGCCACCGCAAAACCAAAAAATTATGCACAGCAGATAAACTGATAGAATGCACAACTGTCAAGTCTTTCAGAAAGTTGATTTTCAGAGATTTAAGGGCATTTATGTTGATGAATGCCTTAAAGATGAAAACAGCTACATACATTCTGTTGATTTTCAGAGGTGATAAGCCCAATAAGCAGTCAGAATTTGCATTCACTAGCATACTTTCTGCAGTAACTGTCCATAAAACACTGTTAGGTAATTTCAACAAAAGTCTATAATTTCTCGTTATATGCCATCTCTAAATCCTTAAATATGCAGATCATATGTATTGAAAGAGGCAGAACATAGGTCTTCCACATACCTCATCGAACTAATTTCAAATGATCTTGCCACCAGGATGATCAAATATTATCAACAGTTTATTTGCATGTTACCTAGATGTTAAGCAAGATACAGACAGGGACTGCATTTAAAAAATTAATAAAAATAGCAGTTCTAATTTATTTCAACTCGCAGGGGTCACTATAAATAGAGAAAGGAACAGTAACCACAATATTAAAAACTAATCAATAGTTAGCGTTCAGCTTCAGTGGTAACAATATGGACAACCCCAACTTTTTATTTTACTTGTCGTATTCTTAACTACTACACTCCATTTAGTTTAACTCCTTTCATTTTTTTCCTCCCGACTTCTTATATTCCTAATCATGTATTTGTCACATCACACAAACAAATATCTCCGATGCCTGAGCGAGGCACAAAAACTCTTCTAAATAGTCCACAAATGGAACTAGTTACTCATGAAGATCATCCTAGTAATAATCCAAAACCTTTACCTGAGTAAGTCCATAGGACTAGATGAGCTATGGCCTCTTATATTATCAGAATTTGTGAAAATACCTGATCAACCGCTAGCTGTGCTGTTCAGTGTGTCAATAGAAATCAGTAAGGGACTACCATTATCAACTTAGTCTAAGAAATTCGTCATAGGTGGCCAGTGACTAACTTCCGCTTGGTTAGTTTGACTAGTTTAGCTGTTAAGGTTTTGGAAAAGATTATTCACAGCACCATTTTTACACAAATTCAAGAGAACAGACTTTTACATATGGGACACTATGGTCCCAAGTTTGGGTACCAATGCTTAGCAAATTTTATCACCTCGAAAAAGGAATGGCTACTACCATCGACGTAACCAAAACGGAAGACGCAATGTTTATTCACTCCGGTAAATCTTCCAACAATTTTTCACATCTTGTTCTTACTAAAAACCTGCAAAGCACTGGAATTGAAGACAGAACTGGGGATTGAATCAAAGATCTTCGCTGTGGCAGAAGACTGACAGTAACCACAAAGATTCCGTCCGGGAGCAATTACAAGGCATGATTATTATGTTCGCAAACCATTATGAACTCTGGAGGATAGGCTGTTCCTACAACACGACTCAAACGCTTTAGCAGACTAGTCCATAAGATTGTCACTGGAAATTAACATCAATTAAAAGTCAGTTGCTTGAATCAACCACGATGATGTACGTTATAATATGATCAATGAAATTTTTACATAAACTAACTGAGTACAAAGAACTGCGCTTTTCAATAAGTTATAACCTAAAAACATAAGTTAATCATAGTGTTGAATGTTTCCAATGTTCTTCGAGCTTTTCAGAGCTTTAATGGTGGCATTTCATATATTATGTCCAGTATATAAAAAACCCAATTCAGAATGTGGAACCTAAGGAGCGAGTGAATACTTGCAATATGAATTCGATATATTAATAAGAGTGAGTTTGAAGAGTCAGAATCAAGCCAACCAAATGGCTGTCAAACCTCTTCTATGAGGAATGAATAGACCGATAAAACCATTTCATCGTCCTATTGTAAGAAGGATGGTAATCCAAATTACAGTTGGATACCAAAAGCTACAAGAATAATTGCTACGCATTCTAAATTATAGACAGCCTAGCTCATAGTAATATGGCGAGGACTGATACCGCCATGTCGTGAGGTACCCAGTTACCGCTCATGTAATTTTAATTACAAAGGTTCCCTCTAACTCCTAGGCAGAAAAATTGCTTCATCTCACGCGCTGAGAGATACATCTAGTTAATATTGGTTTTTATATGCTAGTCTGCTAGCAATGATCATAGTATTACTGTCAAGTAAGAAGTGCATATTCTCATTACGTTTTATCATAGTCGAAATGTACAAGCATCATTCCTTTAATATTTCAACAGAATCAGTAAAAGAGCTGAAACATGATCTTTAGCAAATCAGAACAAGGTTATAAACGTAACACCAATACAGGTCGATAGTGTAGCAATTTATAGTAGTCTAATAGTGAATTAGAATGACGAAGACTCAGCAAGTAAACTCTTAGGTTCCACTAATTCCCTCACGCTATGTATAGTACTCAAGGATTCACGAGAAGTAAAATAATGATAAAAAAGCAGTCAGTCAGACTCGAGCGGACTTGGCAAACGCTTGCGATTTCGGCGGAAGCATGGCTTTCTTGGTAAAGTCGATAAAAGTCTCGAAGTTTATTTGGAGAAATGTACCCGAAAATTCCAGTATTCACCGGCTGAGTCAGTTTCAGTCGGAGAATTTAACGCGAAACCTCTAAACCAATTCTATTTTCTCCTGATTTTGTTTTGAAATAAATTAAAATCCATAGTCTGACAATGAACCAGAAAGTCCGTAAGTAGCTTCTTTATCCAACACTGATGGAAATTGCCATATATCCATAAAATTATTGATTGCGTACATTAAAACTAAATTAGGCATATACTTTGGAAAACGACCCCTTACACAACGGTTAAGAAGAATAAGCACTTGTATGTTTTTAAAGTAAATCGCTCCAATGCAGTTATTTACCTTGACATTTTTTCGATCACCAGTGTATTCAACTCAAATGTACATAACACCTTTACCTTTGGAGTCAGTTATCACGTGCACGTTTCCTTAAATATAACAATACTGCAGAACAACCCCTAGAAAGATACTATAGGAATATTGATTTTGGAAAGGTTAGACGAGATTTAGAAGGTTCTGCCTACTTCAACTTCAGCGAGTCAATTGATTTAGATTCCAAATGCAAAATGTTGGATTTTCAAATTTCCCAAGTGACTGATAAGAACACACCTTTGGACTCTCCAGCTAGAGATACGATTGGCTCACTGACTGACAAAATCAACATAGAACCTCGCACACTGGCACATCGGCTCAAGTTGCCACACCACCGTGATATCAAAGAGGATAAAGTAGTGTGAGAAAATAAACAATCTGAAGATAACGGTTAGTGGAAATATTCAAGTGAATATATCTGCATCATTGTGACCGATTTTCAGGCATGTCATCAAGAGTCCTCAACCACTGATTACTTTCGTCTTGGGGACCCCAACCAGGTAGTCCACATCTTCCCACACAACTCAGACCAACAGTGAGAGACTGCATCAACTGGTGCCACGTCCTGTTTTCGCCACTCTGAACTCCTTCCCAACTTAATCCAACTTCCCCCAGCATGGAATGTCGAGGTAGACCGTGGATCAGCTTGTGCAGCACGTGTCCAAGCCATCTCACTCGACTAAGGTTCACAACGTCGTCAATCGACTTGGCTGTCTTGACTAGTACCCTTCGCCTGACCTCAACATTTCTCACATGGTGATTTCACCAAACCCGAAAAATGTTACGAAGACACCTATGATCAAAACCCTGTAATCGCTTCATGTCTTCTACTTTCAACGACCGTATCCCATAGCTGTATAACAGGACAGAACGGACTGTAACGTAGTATACTCGTCCTTCGATAGATATTCGGATATCTCACCAGTCGGCACCAAAAGTTGGCAAATGACAAAGCTGGGCTTTTGTACCCAAGCTGAGATTTTGTCAGCAACCATTCCGTTCGGGCTAATGCAACTCCCCAAGTAGGTGAAGTGGTAGGAACTTCCCACTACTTCACTGTCTATCATAAACTGGGGGCACTTTCACCAGATGAATCCTGGGGCATCATCTTACAAGTGACAAGTACGAAACACATACTATACATACTTAGATTTCTGCTCAATAATGTCCAAAATACCCTGCATTTTGTCCGCCTCCTCACCCAACACAACAATATCGTCTGCATACTCCAAGCCGACAAGATAACCTCCAGGGAATATGTTAGTCCCTAGGAAGCCAGACGTACCTAAGGGTATGCCTATTAGTACTTCTATGACGAAGTTAAATAAGAACGGAGAGAGTGGATATCCCTGGCGGACACTAGTTATCGTTTATTCTGATGAGATACGATTTTTCATTTCCAGCTAAAGTCTAGCACTTACTAGCTGAAATCTGCAGAGGGTACCTAAAAGCACCATTATTATTATTGTAATTAATTGTCCCTTGGGTTCCTAGTGAAACATAGGGCTTCAGTAGTACGCCTCCATTGCACTATGTTCTCTGCAGTCTCTTGAACCTGGCTCCACGAATGCCCACAAGCTTTTATTTCTTTCTCGCATGATCTACTCCATGTCACCCTCGGACGCCCAACTCGTCGTTTCTCATTTGTATTCTATTTGAAGGCCTGGCGCGTGATGTCCCCAGTCGGCCTTCTCAATGTATGCCCAATCCATCTCCACTTCCTTCTGCATATTTGTTGGGCGATGGGTTCTTGCTTGGTTCGTTTCCAGAGTTCCTTGATGTTTATTCTTAATATTCTAGTCATCTGATCTTAAGTATCGAGTGAGGGTAGGCAGCAGCTGGTGATAAATGTCTGTAGTTTGTTGGAAAT